TATACCAAGAAATTCAATGACAAAGCATTTGCATAAAAATGTGTCGTATATCAAGTCCTGATTTCGATTTTCACACAACTTTCGAATTTAATCTTGACACCATATGCGGATCAGCTACGTGTTGGCAACCTCGACAAAAGTAGTTACTGATGTTCGAAGGTATCTAGTCCATCATCCTCATGAAGCAGAAGGCGCGGTACGAAAATCATAATTTTCGACTAGGTTGGTGGTTGCTTTGAGTGTGCAGTAAATTGGAACTCTCTCTCAACGGTAAATAAAAAGTATTTTTTATTGAAAACAAAAGTGCTGTGAAGAGAAATGTCGGGGCGAGCGTTCATTGGAGAGTGCCTGGTGGAGTCGTTCGCAAGTATCAGTATCTAGTCCCTGACGCCAATCTGCCGTGTCCCTTTTTCTGGAACCCTAATGTGTGTGTCCCGCATGCAGATTTTCGTCTGTTGCGTCAGGCTGACGCTTATAACGTGTTACTTAAAATGGGTCACATGCAAACATGTGTACCCACAAGGTTTTGAGCTTCTCAACAATCGGAGCTATAGCAGACGACAATAATGCAGGTCAATGCTAAATGGCAGAGCGACCACGAGACGCTCGAAAAAACTGCCGCAGTTTCAATTTTTTTCAAATAAGAAATAGAGTAAAAACCTCGAAAATCCCTTGGATTAAAGTCATCAACCAGCACGTATATTTGACCAATACTCAGTACGACTCTTATCTTTCAAGCTCTTTGCTTTATACAAATAAAGCTCATTGCTTACTTTAAACTCATTTTGTGTGAGCACACCACTCGAGGCCTAGATCATCAACCTAATGTCGCATGCACTCAGGACTTTCTGTGCCTGCACCTTAGATCCTAAAGGATCAAATCAGTTCTCAGTAATCCAAATCTGCTCAGGGTTTTTTGTGTCTGCAGCGAAGATTCTATTAAAAACGTTAGGTACTCCAGTAAGACCTACTAAAGGTGCTTAGGCAAGGCAAAGACTAAAGACAGCGATATGGATACAGATGCAGCTATATTCGAAGTGTCCAAAAAAAAACAATTAATGCTACAAAAGGCTCAGTTGAATACTGGCTCACTGTTCCATGTTGAGACCGATGCACATTAAAATATTTTAATAATCTAGCGATTCTTATTCGATGTGTATCGAAATCTTGTAACTTATAGAACAAGATGCTATAAAAACCAGTTATACTTTCGAAAGAAATATATAGAGTGATCGAAAAGTATGATATATATTGACATAATTACAAACTTACTGTACTTTTTGTATCGTATCGTGGTTTTCTATTATTTAAAATATAAGCATATAAGTAGGTAAGTAACATCGTGCAAAGAACGACCAAGAAAACAATAGACTGGAGGTATAAAACATATATCTATGATGATATTATTATAAAACAACAATAAAATTCGAGTTTATAAATAAATAAATGTCTATGCTCAACGTGAAATACATAATTTTTTGCAAAAATTTATAAATTTTGGAAATGTAATTTTTTATTTGTTTGCGTTTGTAACTCAATCATTTTATTGTTCAACTTAATAATTGTACTTAAATAAGTTTGATAGCTACTGTACCGCCAATTTTAACAACGAAAGAAGAAGCAAAGATAAGAACTTTTTTTAAACGATTTAGAGGATGAAGTAACAGTTGAACAATTTGAATTAATTTATGGTATTTGCCACATTATATCAAGTTTGCTTATATATCAAGGAATTGTTTTATGACGTACTTTATAGGTCTGTTCGCTAGTATTACTACAAACTGCGAGATTTTCAAATGTCAAGTTATTTTAATTGTTTTGGAGTGTTTCTGGTCATGGCCAATTTGACAACAGGTCTGATATGAGGAAAAGTGTCCAAAAATAGAAAATTGTAAATATCTCTAAAAGTAGGTAGTAACGGCAACCCAAATAATATGGCTTGAAAGGAAATTTCAATCTGCATACGACAGATTAAAAAAATACAGGGTGTTCTATTTAAGTTAACAATGTTATAGCTGTTTGAAGTTATCAAAATGTGTGTTTTAATTGTTTAAATTTGTGTTTTAATTATGTTAATGTAAATTTTATCTGTTTTTTAATCTGTATTATATCTTGGGCTCCGTCCTGTTTTGGCAGTTGTTTCCAACTAAATAAATAAATAAACAAATAAATATGTAACAGCAAAAATTAAACACCTAATATTAAATGTTTTAACTTGTTGGTATAGCATAATTTAGTGTTACCTATGCCCTTTACAGGTACCAAAAATACCCTTGACATCACGCTCCTGAAAAGAGTTACTACTACTACTACTAGCATCTCCGCGGACCCTTGCATCTGTCAAATCTCAAATTCTATAACTCCTTAGTCTAGGGAATATTTAATAAAGTAACCCTCAAATTTCACGTAGAATCTGAAAATTCAGTAATACGTATACAGGTTCGGAAAGTCCCCATGGTTCATCGGCCGTTACGTGAGAGCGATAAAGTAAGTCATAGAAATCCGTGCGATAGACAAGGATGTTTACATTGAAGACGTTTCATAATCTGAATAGTTCTAACCCGAAACGGGCGGTGACTACTCAGATTATGAAACGTCTTCACTATAGCTATCCTTGTCTATCGCACGGATTTCTTTACTTTACTTTGGGGTTCCCATGTAAAGGCAGATGGACCATGTCGATTTTCCAGCCCTGTATACCTATATAGGGTGTCCTATTTAAAATAACGAAGTTGGTGTCGACTTCCGGTATAACCGGAAGTGCTGGAGGGTTTTAGATATTTTAGTTGTGTTCGCCCCACTGACATTGCCATGTTGCCAAATTTTCAAATTTTTCGGAGCAGTACCTTCCTAGATATCGATCGACGCAGTTTCCGGTGGGACACCCTGTATAGGTATAATAGCTGCCTGGATAATGGAAAATATTACCTAAATATATTGTGTTAGTTTCCGAAAAATCTTCTCTCCACCTATATTTATATGCTCCTTTTGTACATTTTATTCATATATTATATTTCATTTATTGGAAGCTAAGCGAATGCCGACTAGCCTACTTTCCTAGTATCTTGTAAATTACAAAGAACTCATTTCTTCAGCTTAAACGCATCTACAGAACAAAAAGAATTCACTGATTTCCTTCCACTAACTGTTAACTGTTTTCAGATTGGGGTAGTTTTGGCCCGTTCGAGGGGGTTGGGGATTGCTAGAGTTGAGGAGGATTATGACCATCATAATCGTGATCAGCACCTTTGAAAAGGGAGGAAGAGCATAGATTGGTTTTAGGAGAAAAACTAAAGTTAAGGGTAGTTTTCTGAGTTTTGGGGGGGATCCTGATCATCATATTCATGATCAGCACCACCGAAAACGGGGAGAACGGATACAGAAATCATCGCTGGGGCCCGAAATAAAAAAGGGGTGTTTTTTTGGCCAATTGCGGGAATGCGCAGGATTAGAAATTCAACGGACCTCAAATTCGGATTCAACACACTCGAAAACGTAGGCGGAAGTTTTTCTCTTAGCTGCAACAAATACATACCTTCGCAATGCATTCTTTCACTACACTACTACACTATATGTATAAACTTATTTTTCTACAAATTTATTGTAGATAGGCAAGACACATTAATAATACTCATATTTGAATAACCCTAATGTCAATGTCGCATGTTTTTTTTTAACATAGTGGTAATAGTATGTACCTAGTAGGTACATACAGGGTGTTCCTAAATAAGTGTCGCAACGGAACTCTGTAAATTCCTCTCCGGGCTTTGGTTTTTGAAATACACGGTGTCAAAACTTTCATTTTTTTTAAATTTTTTGCCAATATCTTAGAAACCGTTTGAACTACAGGACTGATTTTTTGTACACGCATCACCACTATTAATAGCTACTTTTTCGCACCCTTCTCGAATTCATTGAACATGCCAGTGGTGGAGATTTTAAGGTATCGTAAGGGTTTTTCCCTCCTAACGTTTACGCCACTGGAAAAATTGACATTTGACAGCAAATTCTGAAGCGCCAATGAATTTTACACAAAAAGAGTTCTCTTGGTTCATTGCTCTAAAGTCAACCGTTTTCAAGAAAAATTACTTTTTATGAACAAAAACAAACATTTTGCTAACGTTTCAAAAATCTTTTGTAATTCAACAGATAGATAGTAATAATTAACAAATTTAACGAAATTTAACAACATTTGCAACAAGTAGCTATTAATAGTGGTAATGTGTGTACACAAGCTCAGTCCTATAGTTCAAACGGTTCCTAAGGTATTGGCAAAAATCTGAAAAAAAGTTTTGACACCGTGTATCTCGAAAAGCCCGGAGAGAAAAATGAAAGAGGAAACAAATGTTTCTCCTTTTAAGAAAAATTTACAGTTTTCCGTTGCGACACTTATTTAGGAACACCCTGTATTAATTTGTATGAATTATGTATGTGTTTCTATGGTTGTTAAATGTGGATTGGTGAATTTTATTAGATCTTTGTCAAATAAAAAGTTTCTATAATTTACTTATTATCGATTAAGTAGGTATTTATATCTTAAAAAAACAACATCGACGCCTCTGTCTAAAGTAAAGATGAATTCGGCTCTCAAAAGTCATTCAGCTGCCAAGCATTTTTTAGGTAGGTAGCTTAAGTCAATTTTTCAAATTGTTATATTCGACGCATTTGGCCCCTCAAGATGATAGATTTTCAGTTAGGAGGTTATTTTATAGGTGCACCTTTATCAATTGTATAATTTGTTAATTCGTATAGATTTGATAGACTTCAGAGGAATGTAGACACATAATTATATCATATAGACCTATTAGTTTATAAAGTCTATGAATTATACAGATATCTAGATAAAGAATTCTTATTCTTCTTCTAATCGTAGATCGTCGATTTTATGTCAACTAGAATTGAGTAGGAGTGGTATGAAAGAGTGTAGTGCGCTTGGCTCTTGTTGCCGATTCCGAGTTCGAGCCCGGCCGGACATTCCCGAGTTTTAGCTGCTGTTATTAAAGTTATCTTGATTTTCTGAAGCCGGTGTAGGTGACGTACACAGTAAAATCAAAATGTGTTTGAATAAGTGATAGAGAAAAACATTCTAAGATTTATTTTAAGTAATTCAAATCATATATAAAAAACTTATCTAAAAGTAAAACGTTTTGGTGTTGTTTTATAACCTTATTTTTAGTTTGTAGGAATCTGTTCTTTTTCATGAAAAAATCATATCATAGTTAAGACTGTTTACTATACTTAAAAATGTCTACTACCGGGAAAAAGAGTCAAACACAAATTGAAAGTGCTGAAAAACAAGAAACCTTATTAACTCTCTCAATTTTAACTTTGGCTGCTATACTATGTAAGTCGAACAAATTTGTAAAATATCATCCTGTATTAAAGTTCTGTTTTATAATTTTAAAGTTACCTAGTTATTAGAACATATCTACTTAAATATATTACATTGTAACTATTACATTATTTTGTATTTTAGCTTTTGCAACTAGATTGTTTTCTGTGCTAAGATTCGAAAGTGTAATCCATGAATTTGATCCATATTTTAATTATCGTACAACAAAATACTTGGCAGAACAAGGTTTCTATTCTTTTCATAACTGGTTTGATGATCGAGCATGGTATCCACTAGGTAGAATTATTGGAGGTAAATAAAATAATACATAAAAATATTCATATTGAATATAAAATTAATATTATAGGTACAATATATCCTGGATTAATGGTAACTTCAGCTGCAATATATCATTTATGTTGGTTATTGAATATAACAATTGATATTCGTAATGTATGTGTTTTCTTGGCTCCATTATTTTCATCATTTACTACCATTATAACATATCTCCTAACAAAAGAAGTTAAAAATGCAGGAGCAGGTTTAGTTGCAGCTGCATTTGTTTCCATCGTTCCTGGTTATATTAGTAGATCAGTAGCAGGAAGTTACGATAATGAAGGTATTGCAATATTTTGTATGTTGCTTACCTACTACACATGGATTAAGGCTGTTAAAACAGGGACAATTCTATGGGGTACACTTACAGCCTTGGCTTATTTTTACATGGTAAGTCTTAGAGAGAATAATTCCAAATAAGGTAAAATCAAGAAATTGTGCTCTTTTATTCAGCGTAGTCCTAAATTGTTTCCCGATATTTTCAGGATATACTAAAAAATGATACTTTTTTATAAAACTTTTCGAAAATGATTAATAAGAAAGATATACCTTTTCAAAGTAATATATATGTTTTTTATGTTTTAAATATCCTATATAATTCATATAACAGACTTACAGCATCAGAGCACTAATTTATACAGTATTATTCAAATGAAATACAGACTGTCTGCTATAAGAGGGCCACTCCTATGTATCTTGCTTAATACACGATGCACATCAAAAATCTTTGTATGTTTTTTTTTGTTGCAATTTTTGAGGTCTTTATGCTCGTAAAAACAAATTTGAGATCCATGGCCAACTTTGTGAGTAATCATAAAAAACCAGAAAAGTACTGAAAGTGTGGGGCCATCTAACTTTTTTATTTTCAGAGATAGAGAAAACTTATTTTAATAAATTTTCATAGCAAAATTGATCTTTCACCTGGTGTACACAAATTTTAATAAAAATTCATCTTGGGGAAAAGCATAAGCTTTGAAATATTCAACATATTATCATACAATTTTAATAAAATAACTACTTGCATCACTTGATTAAAATTAAAATGAGCTCAAGATAGCCTATATTTAAAATATTTTCTTGAAAGTTTGCTACAAAACTACTAAATTTAAAATTTTTTAAGCTACAACACAACTAAATGCTTGTCTTATAGATATTATTTGAAATGAGTGAGATCCTAAAGCAAAAATTGATGTAATAAAATTTTATAAATGAATGTAAATATATATATTAAATATAAATATTTATGTTAACATGGGTTTCTCCAGTAACGTTCGATTTAACAAAATTAGGCACGCGTAAATAAAAAAAGAAATAGGTAAAAACAAAAAAGTTTAGGAGAAATGTCACACCCTACAACTACCCCTTATTTTAGGTATCCATCACTTTTGTTTAATAAAGTTATATATTCAATTTCTATATAAAGAAAGTCTTTCAAACACTTGCGGCAAGCTAAAGATAAAACAGCGATATACCATTAACCTTTATCATCGTTATAATATTACAAAAATTAAAACCATACATTTAAACACAGCCCATATCATGATTTGGGGATTGTAACTTTTGATCCCGGACCTGTGACAAAAGTTATGCAATACAAATTGAAATTTCTTTTTAGGTGTCCTCTTGGGGTGGATATGTTTTCTTAATTAATTTAATACCGTTGCATGTGTTAACGCTTATGGCGACTGGAAGATTTTCCCATCGAATATATGTAGCTTATAGTACTCTATACTGTGTAGGCACCATTTTATCCATGCAAATTTCTTTTGTTGGTTTTCAACCAGTTCAGAGTTCTGAACATATGTTGGTAAGTTAATAACTTAACTGGCTTATTTTTAATTGTCAAAAAATATAACTTACAATATATTTTTTTTCAGGCTTTAGGGGTATTTGGATTATGTCAAATCATAGCATTTGTAGACTACATATGCAGCAAGTTGTCGAAAAATGATTTTGAAACTCTATATACTTTTTTATTGTACACTGTTGGAATATTAACTATGGTAGTTGGCACTATACTGACTCTCTCTGGAAAAATTTCCCCATGGACAGGGAGATTCTACTCCCTGTTAGATCCATCCTATGCTAAAAATCATATACCTATTATTGCTAGTGTTTCTGAACATCAGCCTACCTCATGGAGTTCTTTTTACTTTGATCTACAGATTTTAGTGTTTTTATTCCCAGCTGGTTTGTATTTTTGCTTTAAACAGCTAACCGATGCTAATATTTTTATGATATTATATGGAGTTACTAGCATTTATTTCGCGGTAAGTTTTTTAAAATTATGTTTACTGCGGTTGTTTATTTAATAACTTTGATGAACTATGTATATAATTTTTGTAATAGTAACATCATGCTTTAAAATTAGACTATTTCAACATTAATTAATAGCAGGCCATAGACATTCACTTTTAACCAGATTTAGAAACACAAAATTTTTATGCACACGTTTAAACACCACATTCTAAATACTGTTGCCACACATAATCACAGTTTTTTAACTCTGAATTTTAATTCTAATGGAGGTATTGAATGTATAGTGTTATTTATGGGCAAATAACATCCGTTTTGAGTGGCACATGCATTTCTGGAAGTTTGTGCCTACTTAGTTATGTTCACATAATGAAAACTGTATATTCCCAAATACATGTTCTTGTGAAGGCTTTCGGAAACACTCACATGTACATTGCAATTTTAAACCTTATCATTTGGATTGGAGAGGGACTATTCATATACACACACTTGTAAGTTCCTGGAACATTATACAGGGTGAGTTGTCAAAATCATAAGAAGCTATGACATACATTTCAATAAAAAAAATAGTTTATTGATATTCATATCATAGCATGCTTTGATTAAATGTTCAAATAAAATAAATATTGACCTCTAAACACTTTCTGCTTCCTCTACGAAGGGCGTCTGTAGCGCTTATCTTTCTTTAGTAAGTGATGCAGTATTGATGATACATCAAATTAATACATCCTGAGTGTTCACTCTAACTTTATACACTTCGTTTTTGAACTAGCCCTATAAACAGTAATCTAATACTGTGAAGTCTGGAGATCTTGGAGGCCAACTAATAGGACCACCATGACCAACACCCTAGAAACCTCTTATTCAAATACAGCTCTAGTAGTACTTGTAATTCATTTTGTAAGTAATGGTCTCCTGTGAATCGATTCTATAAAATGAAAGGGCCGATTAAATAACTATTGATCATACCACACCACACGTTAACCGAAAACCTATGCTGAAAATTACTTTCGAGTGTTGTGTGAGGATTTTCGTCTGCCATACATGAGAATTCTGAGTATAAATTATGCCATCACAGGTGCATGTTAAACTGTTGAATTATAAAATGACACTGACAAATATCCTACCTTTGAACTTGGAACATGACTGATTTGAAATTTTTAGAACTTGTAATTATGCTAAAACAAATGAAAATCTCATAACAATATTTGAGTTTTTTCTTACTATTTTGACATGTAGAATCCATTCCTAGAGTTTGGTGCAATTCTCCCGACTCTCCCTTTATTTATATGTGTTTTAAAGTGTACATCTATGGCCTGTTAATGACTAGACGCGAAAAATGAGCCTCTAATAGCAGATGAATTTATTGATCCAGTTGGTAATTAATGACGTTAAAGATGTATTATACCTGTTAAAAAAATATATTTGTCTATATTTTTTTTCTTACAGAAAGTTAGTAAATAAATGAGTTTATAAAGTTTGGAAAACATAAACTTTATTATAAATGAAAAATTTTAAAAACACCTTTTTTTCAAGCAATTTATTAACGCGTTTAAAATAATAAATTGATAAATAAATGAGATTATATCACATTTATTATTATTTATTAAAAAAAATATCTGCCTTGATAATTTTTATAACATATCCACAATTATATGGGGTATATACAGGGTGTATCACGAAGAGGGCCCAGTAGTATTATCTCAAAAAGTAGTCAAAATTGAAATCTGAAAATTTGTATTCATTGGTTTATCAAAAAGATCTATTCAATGAAAATAGTGTCAACTCTAGACTAATTTGATATAAGGTACTATAGGTTAAAATGTGACAGTTTTCAAGTTATCAATTTTCGAAAAAAATTGAGAGATGCAAGTGATTTTGGAGAACAAAATAACTCCGACTTTTAGCTTTATTTATTAATGGAATTTGGCATGGATAATTTAAAAGCAATGGGATTCAACTAGATTATGTCAAATTTTCAAAAATTCATACAGAATGTTTAAGCATGTGTGACCGATATTGTCATGTTAAAGTTGAATTTACTCAAATATTTCAAATGGTACACCCTGTATATTATTACATTAATGGATACACAATTAAATTTACTTAAAAATGATAAATAGTTCTCTATATCCAAAGTTAACAGTTCATGTGTAAATATAACCAGAAGTGCGAGGATGTTGACACTATTTTCATTTAATAGATCTTTTAGATAAACTCCTGTATACAAATTTTCAATTCTGACTACTGTTTGAGATCCTACTGGGCCCTCTTCGTGATACAACCTGTATGTCCAATATCAGTATTTGGTGTTCTCTGTTGCTTCATTCATTGTCAAATTTAACATAATGGATCATCATGGACTCTAAGAGAGAAAATGTTAATCAAACACTTGAAAAAAATGTGTGATACATTTGTCCTGTACCGCCAAAATCGCAAACGTTCATTGTCCCTAGTGGTATGAGACAAATAGACGCCATACATGTTTATCAAACATTGAGTTGATATTTTCCGTGATGAGTCCAAAGCTATCATAAGTAGCGGTGAAAAAATGCTGAAGTTACAGTTTTGCACATATGAAAAATCACTCAAATTTTTACTTATGAAATATGAAAGTTTCATATAGTGACAATATTTCATTTTATAAACAAATTTTTCTTTGATATAAACTAAAATGGCACATACAGTATAAACTCGAAAATTTGAATAACAGAATGACATGTATAATTTGAAGTTCATACATATTTTATTTAATTTAAAACTTTTTCTATTATAATTTTCAAAACCAATTTAAAATAAATATATAAAATGCAAATAAAATATTTAAACATTCTAGAACATTAAGTTTACATACAATTAGGTTAGGCCTCTCTAAATCATTAATGGTACAATTGGAACTATTGATTTGAGTTGGACGACACACATGATTGATCGCGGAATCAATAAATATGTTTGATCACAGATTTATAAATTGATTGACACAGATTAAGTTCATTGATTTTCAATAGTAATCGGTTCCAGTTCGTATACTTCTGTTATTGAGAAATGATCTAAATCCACAACAGTGCTCCCAAAAATGAGATCAGGATAATAGAGAGATCAGGATAATCAATTTTTTACTGTATTTGAAAACTATAAATTCCACAAAGTTGAAAATCCACCTGCTATGATTTTTTTGGGTACCAATTTTTGGAAAATGGTTTTAGATATTTATTTACATAATGTAATAACACTATGTTGTTCTACCGTTATTCTACACCCTTCAAGATTTCTATAAATTGTGTAAATTCTCTGTAATTTTTTTTTTAAATCTATATAAAATTTTAATATGTGGACTATTTCCAACAATTTCATTTTGTGTTTTATTCATTTAAGTGTCCTTAGTTAATACTGAAAAAAGAGGGCAATTCGCGCTTTTGCAAAAACGATTTGCAATTTTTTGCAACTTCATTGTTTATAATTGAAAAAAAATGCATTAGGCCATACCAAGGGATGTAGAGCAACTTGATCTCATTAGATTTTAGAAAGAAAATATTGCCCATATAATTATTTACAAATTAGCCACAAAAAAAATTGGTAGGATTTGCAATATTAAAGAAGTTATAACTGCCTAATATGCTACTTTTTAAGGTATATAGAATATAAAATATTTAAAGTGGATTTAAGTTTGACTTTATGTAGATTATTTTTCATTTTGATTAGTCCATGTAAAAAGATTTTCTGTTCCTTAATATGTGGCTTATATATCTACAAATTGGAACACTCTCTGTGCGCCATAGAATAGTAAACCTATTAAAGTAAGTTAGGTATTTATTAATAAATGTTCAAATCCACAAAAAAGAGATAATTTATGATAATTTTTGTTCAAAATACCGCAACATAATTTATAATCAAAATTAAAACTGAATTTATGTGAACTCTACTACTTTTAATGTAACAGTTGAATAAACCTCTATTCTAGGGTGTGATGGTACGTTTAATGTTGGTATTGGCACCTGTTATGTGTATACTAAGTGGTATAACTGTATCTCACCTGCTTACAAAGTTTATGAAAAATACCGATTCTCCAAAACAACTGGATCACAAGAAACACAAAAAACAGGAATCCAACATGACTCTCAAAAATGAAATATCAACTACTTTTGTAGCTGTTATTACTCTCCTTCTAATTTCCTATACTTTCCATTGTACTTGGGTCACCTCAGAGGCCTACAGCTCTCCAAGTATTGTGTTGAGCGCACGATCCCATGACGGTGGCAGAATCATTTTTGATGACTTTAGGGAAGCTTATTATTGGCTGAAAATGAACACTCCAGAAGATGCTAAAATTATGTCTTGGTGGGATTACGGATATCAAATAACTGCTATGGCTAACCGAACTATACTGGTAGACAATAATACTTGGAATAACACCCATATTAGTCGAGTCGGACAAGCGATGGCGAGTTCAGAGGAAAAGGCCTATGAAATAATGAAAGAATTGGATGTTGATTACGTTCTTGTAATTTTTGGTGGCTTAACGGGTTATTCTTCTGATGACATCAATAAGTTCTTATGGATGGTGAGAATTGGTAAGCACTTATAGTTTGTAAAAAAATCATTGAATATGAAATGTTAATCATCATCTTAGGGGGCAGCACTGATCGAGGAGCACATATAAAGGAATGGGACTATTACTCATCAAATGGCGAGTTTAGAGTCGACAAGGAGGGTTCGCAAACATTATTGAATTGTCTTATGTACAAAATGTGTTATTACCGATTCGGGCAAGTGTATACAGAAGGTAACAAACTACATTAAGACCCACATGTTTTCTTCATAATGTCTTTTTTAGGTGGAAAGCCTCCAGGTTATGATAGGGTAAGAGGCGCAGAAATTGGAAATAAAGATTTTGAATTGGATGTGCTTGAAGAAGCTTACACAACAGAGCATTGGTTAGTGCGAATATATAAAGTGAAGGACTTGCCAAACAGGGGGGTGTAGTATTTTAATTTTTTTGCTTAAATATTTTTGTATATTTGTCTTTTATAAAATAAATATGTAACATACTTTTCGTTTTATTATTTAATATTTGTACTAATAGTGATTTAAAAATAAGCCAGTACTTAACCAAAGAGTAAGGATTATAAAGAGAAGACAGTCCATTCATAATTTAATATTACAACCGTTGACCTTGGATTAAAAATCCCTTTAAATTGGACTTTTGGGCGGTTGCCATATTTTTAGCAAAATAATGTATATACCCCACAAATGTTAATGCAGCGATGCCGCAACTTACAGAAATTCCCTAATTTGTATACTAACATAATAGGTAAAACACGTAACGATTATAGTATATCTACATCGTCTTTTTGAGGTTTATAGTGACATAACGGTTTGAAACATCAGTAATGAGAGAGTAAAAATAAATTTAAATAGAGCCATTTTTCATAAAAATTGTTTGTTTTGAGTACCTATGTATTTAAGTACAGAAAATGATAATAATAAAGTGTTACAAAATATATAAATATTTTTTTATTGGAAATTATCCCCAAGAAGTGGTTCGGATTCCACTATAAGCTGTAGGTCCCCGTCCCCTTAACACGCATAAGTCTATTTGACTTCTGGAAATTACGTACGTTGTGATGTGGGAGGCGGTAATAGACAAATTTTAGACAAAATTATCTCTAAAAAACTTTATATTTGTATTAACACTTTGTCTATTCTTGCAATTTTTATAAATGCAATATTTTCCACCACTTCGCTTTTCGCTACTCTTTTCATTCCTTCCATTTTATTTTTTTACTGGAAATAGGAAATAATATGATATTTCACAACACTTCTGTAAACGTAAACAAACAACACACACATTCACAGTAAAATGGCAACAATACCAAAACTTTCGGATGGCTGTGTTCGTCTACGCACGACGAAGTGAACTTTGTACGCCGATGTTTGTCGATCTCTACCCGAAAAGTTTGATCTTACACTGGTTTGACGTCCCTTTAAATTGGACTTATTTACTTTATCTCTCTCTGATTTACTTTCTCTTTCTATCTGTCTCCTCTTTATAATCCTTACTCTTTGACTTAACCGTACACATAGAGTATAGGAAAATGTACACAGGGTGATTCATAACTTATCCAAAAAACTTGGAAATAGATGTGCCATGAGAAATTAAGTCATTATTGTAAAAAAAAATTATAAAATCCGTACATTTTCTGAGAAAAAAATTATTGAAGTTGTAGTACTTTCAACCATTACATAGCTGGACAACTGTAGTTTCTAGCATCATTTGTAATACGTGTGGAGAGCCACGTGGCCTCAGCGACTGCGAATACTGAAATCTGATTTTACAGTCGTTGCCATAGTGTTTACAATAGTGTTTTAGTAGTGGTGTCAAATATGGCTTACGTATATAGCAACTCGGAGTTGATGGATATCGTTTTAATTTATGGTGAAGCAAGAAAACATTTATATTATGGTTAAGCATTTGTGTTATGGTGAAACATGACAGCATTTGTGTTAGTTCGTAGAAACTGAGTAAGATGAGCCCAAATGTGTTTACACGTCGGTGGACAAAATTTTGAACAGTTGTAACATCAGGTATGCCAAATTATTTTATTATTTAAACCACAAGTCGCATTGTGCCAGATCAGGTTTTACAGTGGATCAGTTTCCAGTGCCATGCAGAAGTGTATTTTTAAATCATTCTCTTTGATTTTTTCTTTACAAAATTGTATTTGTAAGAGTACATCCAGAATTTTTTTTTGGATAAGTTCTGAATCATCCTGTATAATGCAAAGAATTGTTCACTAGCATACTGAATTTTAACTTAAATCTTTACAGTAGTTAATATGGGGCCTCAATTCAATAATTTGGTGTAATCGGTGAAATCCATTATGCATTGAACTTTAAAAAAAGTCTAACAGAGGACCACAATATTTGTGTAGATATCAAAAAAATATGTTTGTGATAAAAATTGTACCACTACATTCACAATATTTGAGATTTTTATGACCGACGGAGGACGGAAAAATTTAGGTACAAAGACGGAAAAATTCTAATTAGGTGGTTTTATTTTAAATACTACTGAAATATACAGCAATGTGCTCAATATTATTTTTTATAGTGAAAGTCCATTCTGCTTTTGCCCAAAATAAACTTTTCAATTTTTCTTTTTAAAGTTTGATATTTCTCGAATCATTGATTTTTCAACAAATAGCATTGCAAGTGCTGTTAGTCTGCCTTCTAATTTAAACTTTTACAATCTTTTAAAAAATGCAAGAAACGGTATGTAGGTAACAAAATTTTATACCGCACATAAGCAAATTACGTCTAATAAGAAAAAAAAAGTGAATAGCTCTTATTTGGTTACGTAGACTAAATAGAGCCCAAACTGCATAGTAAATATGCGCTACTCCCACTTCATCTTTTAGTGTTGCACGACAGTAATCATGACCACCGCCTCAAAACTACAGATTTAGGGGCGAGGTACGAGAAACCTGCATATTTAATGTTTCTCAAATGAATTGTGCGAGTTAAATTACAAATTTAACATTTCCTTTTTAATGTCTTTCATAAGGCTAATCTATTTAATTATGGAGATAACACGGTAAATTCAATTTTAAATTAATTTTTTTTACTATTTATTTATTTATTTATTTACTATTATTATTTATTTATTTACTATTATTTTTACTATTTTTCAAGGGGGGGGGCATACCCAAACCCCCTCTCACACCAGCTGCCACTGATACAGAAGAATGTGATACCTACTGCATATATTTAAATATTCTGTTAAAAGTATTTTATATCGATTATTGAATTAATTAGATATAAAAAGATTTTTTTTGAAGGCATAAATAAGAAAAATTTAGTTAACATCGTAATAAATAATAAATTGACTAATAAATCTTAATTGCAAAAATGGTAATTAGTATCTTATTAGCAACTATTAATGGTTTCCTTGCGAAAATGATCAACTTGACAACTTTTTCATTTTAACTTTTAGGAAATATGTTTCCTAAATAAGTTGTCTGGTCCTTTGAGGGCTCCAAAAATTTGTTTTTAGAAAAAAACAATTCAACAACTCATCTGCAACTTTGAGATGAAAGTTGTTTCTTTTTTGACTCATTACAACATAATGGGTATCATTCTCTATAAAAACTCCCCCTTTGTCATGTTATTATAGGTTGCTATCGTTGAATTAAAAGATGAGATTGTCTGTCTAATTGTTGATATTGCACAGTTTTAGAGGAAGTTAGGCCGTTCGTGGCCAGGTAGCAACAGGATCGACGCCATCGAATCTAAGAAAAGGTGCCTCAAAATGAAACAATTTGTTGTTTATATTAATTAATAATGGGGTAACAACTGTAATAAACAATAATAATAATGCGTAATTGGTCAGATCTGAAGGCTTCAATCCCAACGCCCTTTGGCTTATCTGATAGCATAGCTTATAAACTCAATGTTGCTATATCTAAATCAGTATGAGTCAATTTTTGTAAATATCTATTATTATTATTATTATTATTATTATTATTATTATTATTATTATTATTATTATTATTNNTTATTATTATTATTATGTTCCAGTCGTATTTGCGGTTCAATCGTTTTTCTAAATTAAATAATAATTAGTAAAATCTTCAGAGTACCATATGTTACTTCTTATAAAGGGTATATTAGATACATGTACAAATATGAGTTATTGGTGCACTGATACATCATTATATTATTAAATGTTCACTTGATTTAAATAACGAAAATTTAATGACAAAAACAGTTCAAAGCACTTGAAGCAAATAAAAGCTCCAAATACTTCGAAATGGCGCTTGGATCACTGGCAGGAATATAATTGAAAAATACAGAAAATAAATAGATCCGTCAGGTGTTGATTGAGAAATTGATTTTTTTTTATTTCGCCATTAACCTATTTATATAGTATAAATGTTTCTAGTAAATACAAATGGTCAATAATATAACGAGTATTATGGCATAATGCAAATATCGAATAAAATCGGAATAATTTAGATATCGGAAAGAAATAAAAATCAAAAAAAAATTTTTATACGAAAAAATTTGAATATAAAAATATCCCACTCTAGAACCTCTCTCATAAATTTGCATATTCAAATACGATTTTTTGAGAATTTAAAAAAGAAACGCCACTCAAAAAGCACTTTTTTCTTTTAAAAATCAAAATACACCTCAAAAAACTAAAAACATTATTTTTATATTTTTTTTATAAAACTACATCTAAAAACGAACAAAGTAAAAAAAGTTTATTTTATTTTTTTGCCAAGTTACAGGTATTTGAAAATCTTGTACCCAATATATTCGAATGCTGATAACTCATTGAGGGGTTGAAATAAAAATTTGAAATAATTCATGAAAGCTACTCTAAATAATACCAAAAAAGTCAGAAAAATTAAAAATCATCCGGTCACGACCTCAGTGATTTGCGACATGAAATGCCCCATATTTTAGGATAATTTTAAAAATTTTCTCACGCCAGTCTTCCAATTATTTTCTGTTTTTTTGTTATGTGAAATATAGCAAACGCAATATTTCATTTGTTTTGTGTTCTTAAATCTTCGATACCACAACAAAAATGAATTTGAAATTCAATTTCATCCAATGAAAAACTGTTCTGTATATTGAGTTCACCCTCACACGCATGCTCACTCGCTGAAAGCGTTCCCTTCAAAAGTATTGTTGGTTGCATAAGTTAGAGAAATAAAGTTTAAGTTTTAAACTGGACAAGGCCTGGACGTGCGCTTAAGAAAATGGTAATAAATTGTTAGGTTAAAATGCGATTCATTCAGAAGCGGTAGTTGTGCTACCTTGAATATTTGTGCGGAAACTAAAAATAAATTCAATGCATGTCATACAATATTATAAATTAATTTAATATAATTGAGCGCAATTTGGTACGGAAAATTGTTTAAAATTAAGATCTGGTAAGTGAATTTCATTTTATATCTTTTCAAATAAGCAACACAATAACCCAAAGGCTACTTATTTTATGTAACGTACCTATAGCTACGAAATAATTGTAGTACTTAGT